CGACCCTACGCAAACGCGGAACACCAATCGTGAACGCGTAGCCTAAAACTCGTACACCTTCGCGAATGCGGGACCTACCTCGTGAACGCGAAGAACAACTTGACTACCCCTCTCATTAACCCTTCGTGAACGCAAAACCCTCTCGCGAACGCGAAGAAGGATTTCTCTGCGGATTCAAGCCTAAGAATTCCAAATTCCGCTTTCGATCACAAAGTCTATCAAACCTCGTCCGAATGACCTGAAATTTTACACACACGTCAAAAATGACACAACAAACCTACTCCAACTTTCGAAATTCCATTCTGACCTCTATATCAAAATCTCACCTATCAAACAGAAAACGTCAAAATCTCAATTTTGCCAATTCAAGCCTAAACCTTTCGCGGACCTACAAAACACATTCTGACCATGCTCCTAAGTCCCAAATCACCTAACGGAGCTAACCAAATCATAAAAATTTCAATCCGAGGTCATCTACTAACAAGTCAAATCTTGGTCAAACCTTTCAAATTTTAAGCTTCAAACTTAGAACTGTTCTTCCAAATTCATTCCGATTACCCTGTAAACCAAAACCAACGATCTACGTAAGTCATAATGCATCACACTAGGCTAGTCATCCCGAGAACTAGCGAGCGAAGTGCAAAATCTCAAAACAACCGGTCAGGTCGTTACAAAAAATTAGCGGCAACGAATTTCTTCAACCCGGCATTTTCAGTTTTATATTTCTTTTCAAGTGCAATCCACAATTCTTTTGACGTCTCCACACCACTGTAGACGTTATATAAATCGTCCTCCAGTCCGCTAAGATTATAATTCTTGCACAGAAAATCAGAATGCTCCCACGCCTCAATCACAAGAAAGCGTTCATTCTCTGGAGTTTTATCAAGCAGAACAGGAACATCTTCCTTAAAGAACTTCTATAGACTTAAAGTAGTCAAGTAGAAGAACATCTTCTGCTGCCACCGCTTGATATCAATCCCGAAATTTTTTTTGGGTTTTTTCGCCGGTGTCAACGCCGATGTTCGGCTTGTCGATACATTAACAGTCACCATCGGAACAACTTGGTTCTCGTTGTCATTAGTCATTTCTGTAAAAGAATGACACAAACAAATGTTAAAATCACGTAGATTTTAATCTCCAATGAAGTAGAAAACCATAAAGTATTTAATCTCCAGAACAGTGAATATAACACAAATACAGAAAATAAAATTAAATTCCTTAAGCTTGTTAGTATACTGTATTTGTAAAATAATTCATATAAACAGAAATATAAATGAAACAGAAGTTAATCCGAGCCCACTGAATTCACAGTGTTTCCTTAAGGAATTTAACCCCCTCCTAGTACCCAAGATTGTAGATTATTTTCTTCCAGGATAGAACGAATTACACACTGGTATAGTGGTACTTTAAACCCCAGTATTTCAACGAACACAAAGTTCGGTAGCAAATCACACTTATTGTTGCTTTCTTTTAAGTTAAAACAATGCAGAACAAAGGAGGAGAACTCAAAAAAAATCGTAGGGAAAATCTAAGAGAATGGACTGGTATTTATAGCCAATGTTGAGCTCAAAACTGAAGAGATGCAACTCTTCAGAATGACTGTTTATGTAAAATGGCCATAACATAAATTCAACAATAAACCGGGAATTGAAGAGGGAGATTAATTTTCAGTTACAAAATCGAAAACTTAAAAAGGATAACGGAAATAAAATGTTTAATATTTCCGTTGGATTTAATATTAATATTCCGTTGGATTTCTGTTAACAAAGCCGAAGCCGAGCGACCGAGCGACGACGCGAGGCTTGCCTTCTTCTTAACTCTTTAAGAGCTACAAGATGAGCAATTGTATATATACCCATCAAAAACCTTTTCCTTTTTTAATGAGACAATGTCCTTTTTGTCAAGGGGGGAACTTAAAATTTTACTTAAAATTTTCATTTCTCATTCACCCTCTTTTAAGCCTATCTAGCTTAAAACCACCTCAACAATTAAAATATGATAGTTGCTCTCCAATACAATGAAAGAAAAATATGAATAAGAATAATTAGCAACAAATAAAATGTATTAATGAATTCAACAAAATTCAATTCTTCTATGTGATTACTACAAACAGGGGCGGATTTAGGCTGTTTTTATGGTGTACGTGAATCCATAATTTTTTCGTCAAATTAGATATTTTATGTAGATCCACCACTGACTACAAAAATAGATAAATATGAGATTTGGATCAAACATGTAAGCAAAAACCGAATTGCTTGAGAAAACTTAGGGTTAAAGGAATAATAAAGAACTTGGATTATCTAATGTAGTTTTGGGGTTACAAATTATTGGTGTCGAGGAAATTGTGGAGAAACAAAAAAGTATGTGAAAAGTTCTTGATAAATGATAAGCATGACACTTGAAAATCAATGCCCATAATTTGTTCCAACAGAAGAATACTATTTCTATGGGTAGGTAAAAGGTCATTATCAATTGAGTAATTTAGACCCTTCAAGATGACCCCTGAGAACTTTCCTTTTCAATTTTCACCACCTTATATAATCTCCAACTTCTATGGACGAGGACCTCAGCTAACCAAGAGTATTTAAACCTACCATTAATAGCACAGTTAGCTGTCAAGTTACGTATAACATATTCGATTAACTTCTAAAATCAACTTATTTTGTAAAATACTTTTCAAAAAAATAATATTATTAGTGAGAAATATTTTATGTTTAACTAATTAATTTGAAAAGTATTTTTGAGCTTTGACTAAATTTTTAAAAAATATTTCTAAGTATATTTTTCTTAAAATATTTTGAGGGAGAATTTATTTTTTTCTATTCAAAGGTACTTTTTTCCTTCTAAAAGCTTGACCAAACATCTTAACTTTGAAAAAAAAAATTAGTCAAAAAAAATACTTTTGGCCAAAAGAAGCTGAAACACTCATGGCCATTTCATGCCCTCATTTTTCATTACACATCTTTTAAGATTTCTTTCGCTACTTACATATGTAATACTCTTTATATTTCAAACTGGACTCGTTTAAATTGAATTAATTATACTTTTGTCCTTAAATTTCTTATACATGGATAAATAATATAAATGTTATAAAAAAAGATTAATGTGATTTTGATTTCTCATGAATCATTTCTGTCTTGCTTTAACAGATTCTTTTCTTGTTTTCATTTAAATATGACTTTGATTTTTGAACTCAGACGTACCGTACTTGTTTAGCCTTGTTCTCTACCGTATTGATGTCAATTTTCTTGGCAAAATTTGAGGACATAAGATTGCCACTTGACCTTGTGGAAGGCTTTATCATTTTGCCAGACCAATAATTCAGGAAAAATAAAATAATTGAGGGCATTTATAATTATATATATATATATATATATATATATATATATATATATCCGAGGCTACGAAAGTAGAAAAATAGAATCAAGAAACTTGTCATCATCATCATCTTATCTTCTTAGGAACTGCGCAGAAACCAACTCAAAGCAATTAATTGTAAACAAAAAAAATCAAAAATTAATTAGAATAACATAAAAAGTGAGAAAAGTTTCCATACATAACCAATCTTTGTTTTGAAAATTTGTACAAATGGAGAACAAGGTCTTATCATTAACTTAATTCAAAATGCGGTGTTGGCATATGAGAGAATCAAAATACAATTCTGGTGTGTATTTGAATATCATTTTTAATTTTTTTGAAATGACATATATTTAGAAATAATTAAAAAATACTACTGTAAAATATAGCTACTAAAGTAAAAAAAATATCTATCTTAAGAAAATAATAAATTATCATAATAGAAAATTATTTGATCTCTGAATAGTAATAATGATATCCCTTTTTAAGGAGCAATACTTTTTTAACATTGAAAATTGAATTTTCACAATTTATGACCAGACTAGTGGGTCATATTTTCCAAAAGCTTATTTTATATTGTCTAATTTATCAAAAACAATTAATAATTAATAGATTGCGGCCCCTGCTACCTTGTATTTTTTCCAAAAGGGTAACCTAATAGATCAGCTTTTGATTTTGATTTGACAAGACATTGCTTGAGGTTAATCATGGAACTTGAAATTTGTTAATTATATATTATCAAATAAAATTAATACTATTGCATTTTTCTCTCTCTTGAGGTTGGGAAAGAACAAAAAAAATTAGGTAGATGATAGTGTAATCAGCATTTTTTTCTTATTTTTATTTAACATCACATGCAAAAGGATCACATAATCATTCTTAAATAAGAAAATATTTAACTAAACAACACTTGTTAAGCTGCAGGAAAAAGAATTTTTTGTCGTAAGTGAAGATATTATGATATTGTACCTTTCACTTTGACTTTTAAGCCATAGAAAAATCACTAATATAATCATCCCTTTTTCTGAGTTTTCTCTATGTTTCAATCTTATCCCTTTCTCTGCATTATCAACCAAAAACTTACCCTTTCTCTTTGCATCAGAGAATGATCGTACGATTAAGACACTCAAGGGGTCATTTGGTCGATATATATATATATAAAAGAATAATATCGAATAAGATGTATTAGTAAGTATTTAAATTATTAATTTTGAAATTAGTTATACTGGAATTATTTTATTGACAATTTGGTTTGATGCACTAAAAATAATATACATTGCATAATCTTTTTAAAAATTATTTGTTTGCAAGAATGCCCTCCACATTCTTTGAAAAGGCTTTATAAAGGGTTTTGAAAGGCCATTTTATCTTTATACATATTTATTCATGTATTAAATACTATAGTATTGCTTATGATACGGTTTGCTACAGAATAGTATTGAATACCAGCTTCTCCTGATTAATATTATCGTAGGAGTGAGAATAGGGAACAGATTTTAGGAGGATCGAAAACGACAGATACGTGGAAGTAATTAAGATCATGAATGGACCGACTTACAAGGATTAGATATTCCTTCACGATCTTGCCACGTGTACGGTCGATGTCACCTCTCCCCCTCCTCCGTTGTTCTATAAATGGACACTCCTCAATACTTGTTCTACATCATCAAAAACACACTTGTTTTCTTGAATTTGCATATTTTCGTTTCTGAAAATGTCTTGCTGTGGAGGAAACTGTGGTTGTGGATCTGGCTGCAAGTGCGGCAACGGCTGTGGCGGGTATTCCTTCTTTTTCCTCTAACAATTGATACATGATTTGTTGCTATTTTATGTTATTTTTCTGTTTTGGTTGATGCATGGATGAATATCTTTATGGGGAATATTGGAATTTAATGGAAAATTGTGGGCTGGGTTGTTTACAATTGTTGTCGATTTTTTTTCTTTCTAATGATGGTTGTGGTTGGACATGCACTTTCACTAATTTAATTTGATGGGATATCTGCGACAATCCATTAGCACAGGTGTCGGGCCGGTAACTTTGCCCACCAAAGTCTAAACTTAGGCAGATGGGAATTTTTCTTGTAAGATTGTATTTGGTGGTAAATGATACGATCTCAGTTGGGAAATTATAGTAAGTTTCCCAATGACCTATAGATCACGGGTTTGAGTCATAAAAATAACTACTAATCATTGTATTAGGATAGGTTGTTTACATCACACCTTTGAGGTGCCGTCCTTTCTTTCACCCTGCACGTGAATGCACATGCCTTGTGTAGCGGACTGCCTGGGGTAATTAGAGGCGGATCTAGCATGGATTTTTTGGCTTCAATTGAACCTATTGTTTTTTGCTTGAGCTCTTCTATACATGCCAAAAAAAATGAAAAAAATGTGCATATAACAAGTTCACATCCATTCTAAACTTGACTTTAGGTTGTTGATTTGTCTATATGTTTGTGTTGGCTATTGTTTTTTTTTTTTTTTGGCAAAATTTTGTAAGTGTTTCTTAGTAGAAAAGTCGAGGCTATACCGTAAATAGCCTCTATAACCCATAAATCAGGCATTCTCTCCGAACCCTACTTGTGGAATCACATCACACTAGTTTGTTGTTGTTGTTTTGTGGTTGGAAAATTTCTTAATTTCTTGTGTTTGTGTTGAATTTTGGTTGCAGATGCAAGAATTACCCAGATTTGAGCTACAACGAAAGCACCACAACTGAGGCTTTGGTGCTTGGGGTGGGACCTGAGAAAACAAGCTTCGGCACAATGGAAATGGGTGAATCCCCTGCTGCTGAGAATGGCTGCAAATGTGGATCTGACTGCAAGTGTAACCCTTGCACTTGTTCTAAGTGAACAAATTAAATCTTAATTAAGCAGAGATGGATGGGTGTTAGCCTTTTATGGCTAAGATAAAAAATAACTATAGTTTTTAAAATGTAGTTTATAGTTGTGTCTGTTGAAAACAGGGGGAAATTATGTGTTTTTTCCTCTGTAATAAGGAAGAGTAATGGAGTCTGAACAATGTTTGGGTTCTTGTTATTGTGGCGTTGTGTATACAAGTAGTTGTGTGGTTTGTAACATGAGCATCTCTGCTTCTGGTGTTTTAACCTATGTTATTTCCTTTTTCCCGATCTTTGCGTGGGTTCATCCTAAACATATTTATTTGATAAAGAAGAAAACTACTATTAAGAACGAATACGCTATATTAAGATTTTTGAGGTGGGAAACTTGGGATTTATTTTGCTCCTCCGAAGTTGTTTATATTTGACCAAGAGTCCGTTTGGATTGGTTTTAAAAAAGAGTTTTGCCCGCCTGGAAAACAAGGGAATATGGTTCGAATTTTTGGCAATCAGGTGCCTACCTGGAGAATAGAGAATACAGTTCAAATTTTGGCAATCAGGCGCCCAGCTGGAGAATAGAGAAAAGTAGTTCAAGTACAGTTCAAATTTTGGCAATCAGGCGTCCAGGAGAATAGGGAAAAGTAGTTCCTAGGAGAATAGGGAAAAGTAGTTCCTAGGAGAATAGGGAAAGTAGTTCAAGTTTTGGCAATCAGACGCCCACTTGGAAGGCAAATTCTTATGCTTCATAGTGTCAAACAGGGGAATCGAGATCAACCCCGCCAATATCAAGGCCATCGAAGAAATCACGGTGGTAAACAACGTGAAGGTCGTGCAACGGCTGACCGGGCGGATAGCAGACTTTTTAAAGCCAAAAAGCAATAAGCTGGCCCAACTTATTGCTTTTCAATTTCTGAGTTGAATTCTTTCCATTTTGTGCGACTTTCTGAAAGATTCATTTTCACTTTCTCCTCTTTAGGCATTTCTTTTAACGTGAAGCAATTGGTCCTTCAAAAGTTCTGTGTAATTATTTTTAGTGTAAAGTCTTGTTCTATTCCCTTTACTATTTGCTTTTTGCATGTGGGCTCTTCATCATTTATACGTGATACCCACCGGCCACCACTAACCAAATTGGAGCTAATTCCTATCAAGATGACGACCAAATGACTTAAGAACAATAACAACAATCCAGTGTAATATGTATATGTAGGGTTTGAGGAGGTATGCATAGACCTTTGGTTTAAGGAGACCAAATGCCTTGGAGCCAAAGAAATTTCATAACCACTACCTTAAGTTCAGGTAGAACAAAGAATGATTCAATAATTTAGGAAATTTTCGTCGGACGAAAAATTGTTCTAACACCAATCACACCTGAATATTTGTAGGTTTTTTCCTCTTTTAAACCTTATAAGTTGGACAAACCTAGAGGTAGTAGCAGCAACTCAAGAAAACAAGCAAATATAACTGAAAATGCTGAAATGCCGAAATATCTACGGGTAGAATTGGTACGATATATTGAGTCATTTGAAGGGGCATGGAAGGAATATTTTCGTGTCTCATAAATACAACACAGTTGATACAATACATTTGATATCAGCAGTTCACATTTTTCCTTCTTTCTTAGATCTCAAATCCAAGTACTCAATTATAGAAATACTATAACTTAAATTCTAGCTAGAACCAGTTTTACTCCTGCACATTCTCGTAACAACAAGCTGTTGCAAATCAATTTCATCCCAGAACTCCTCTTGCAGCCCACCTGAATAAGTTATGTACCTAAAGTGGATGTAGGCACACTCTTCATTATCACTCCATGATTCACAGTTACTTATTAAGAATACTTATAAAGCAAGTACGCGTCATATATATGAATCCTCACTATTCATGTCGTTCCATTTAAGCTCGTCTCAGTAGTACTAGAAGTTCTCTACAATTTAGTGCCCTTATAAATCTCCTACAAGACTAAGAGGTTCGTTCCTAGCAAAAAATAAAGGAAAAAGTACTGAAAATATAATGCATGTGATTACCTGCTTTGATGACAGTCCAATCTTCTCCAAATCATCCAGCTGCATAAAACCAGGTAAGTAGGCTTAGTATTATGCAGTCACAAACCAAGAAACTCGACATCATACACCTTCAAAAGAGTTTCTTACTGATTTCATTGGGCTTGTTTCCCTTAGTTCGATAATATATTCAGCCATCTTTTGTCCAATTCCCTATATTAGATGTGAAAATGCAGTCAAAACTCACAACTAAGTGATGACAATGTCAGAATCATGTGAAGACATCAATAACATACCTTTATCTCCATTAGTTGCTCCCTAACACAGTGTAGCACAAAATAAAGTCAATCTCCATTTAGAAAGAACAAACAGAAAAATGAAAAGAAAATAAAGACAGAAAGCAACACTCACTTGCTGGCTGTGTTCAACAACTCAATGTACTCCTGGACTAGAGAGTTCTGTATGCTCAACAGATGTAATAATTATAACCAGAAATGCTAAGCAATTAGAAGATAACGGCAACAAGAATTCCTGCTCACCTTCAAGTTAGAACTTTGTGTACTGAACTTATCAAGTGGCGTCCCTATCGCTGGAATATTCTCATTGTTTATGTTGGAGTTGATGGGAGAAAGGACCTTTCTAGGGGTAACAACCTCACATGCTTTAGAGGAGCTGAAACAATCAACGGTTCTCACTTTCTCCTCCGCATTGGTTTTTTCATCTACACAAAATCAAATAGACAAAAGTCTTCAACATTTATTTCACTGTACGTAGAGAAGATATATGATCTTTCCTTATTGAAACAGTTTGTTATTTTCCATTTTTTGTCACAGCTGTCTGTAAATAGGATCAATAGAGATAAATGAACTGCAATTTAGTTACATAAATAAATGAAAAGATAAGAAACTAATTCTAAATGGGATATGGGGGAAGAAATGCTTCAAAAAAATGACAAAATAGTAGTACGAATGATTCTCTTAACGTATGTGAAATAACAAGGAGATAACTGCATTTTCAGGATTAATTTTATATAGTGGAGGGAAACCTGATCTTGTAATGACCCTTAAAATGCTTTAAAAGGGGAGAAAGCACACTGGGATTTCAGTGGGTTCACTTGTAAAATCTTTGCGAAATGGACCACCTAAGATTGTGCCACCTATGAACAGAAACTAAAGTAACAACGGAAGAGCAAGTTTTAAAAAATGAGAAGCTGATGATAAAGGGATGTGCAATCTTATAGTAAAAATTTTAAGAAACTGAAAAAGCACCCAATATGGAACCATGATAGAAGATATTAAACGTTGTAGATATAATTGGCCAAAGCTTGCAAGCAAATCTATGCAAAATAATTATACTACCAGTTTGTGTGGGAACATATATAGCTAGAGCAGTGCAGAACTAGCTTTGGCACATTGATAACTGAAAAATGGTCTCATGGTTATTTATATATCAATATGAGTTGATGCAAAATAGGTATGCTACTGCTCTCTGTGGGAAGAGTAGGCGGAGGAGAACACTAGAACTAGCTTTGGCACATAGTCAATTGCTTATAGCTTAATATGAGTCACCTATATAAAGTTAGATTAATAATACATGAGGTAGACTACAAGAACTGTGATATGGTTATAGTGGCCAAGTACCATGCACCAGTGTATTAGACTCAGGCGCAACGCTTTCAGCAAAAACCTCGAACTTCTTTTCTTCTCTATTACCACAATCAGCAAGTTCTTGAGCCTGCATTTGCACATTAATTGTGAAATCCATCTTAAAATGATTTATCTATTTACTCCAATTCTTTCATAATAAAAATTGTGATTAAATCATTGATTCCGCAGAAAGTTTCTAGTTGTTAATTATCACATACCAAAATCAATCAACTGAGTAGTTCTCTTTGTGAAAAAGTTGGCTAAATTAAGAACTGTTTTCTTTTTGAGCTAATCAAGCTATCAGCCATACATAAACTTAAAGTGGGCTAGGTAATCCTAGAATCTATAGAAATGGCAATAGTTATAGTTTCACGTTAACCAGTTCATCTTACTTAAAAGAAATTGAGTTATATTCACAGTAGTTATCTAGTAGTAGTAAATAATAAAGGACATCCCATGGACCAAGTTTGTCAATGGATTTTATTCAATTTAACACGAAGAATTCTGCAAGGAGCAAAATGTTACATCATTAACTCACTATGAGCTTGGCCAAAATTATAGTTGTCTCTGTCTTTTACCTCCGCTGTGACGTTTGATCGATGTCCATTATTAAATAGATTTCTACAGGCCCCATCTGGATCCCTGTACAACAAAATTAAGCAATCATCAAAATCAAATGCAAAGTTAAGCAATCATCAAATCAAACACAGGTAAGTACAGCAAGATCATAGAGTAATCTCTTACCTCTTTTTTATGCTTGAAGCACCTTGTTTACTAATAAATTTATGCTTTGAAGAGCTCTCAAACAAACTAAGCTTTTTGGTAGAGCATATGGAATTTGGAGTTTTGATAGTAAATGGAGAATCAAATGCCCCAATTCTTTGAGCACTTTTTGTCTTGCCTTTAGATTCTAGCCAGGCGCGAAGCTTTGCCTCCATGTCAACTTTGACCTTTGGAGTAACTCCTTTTTGTGCTGAGGCACAAAAATTGGATATGTGTCTTGATCGGGCTGCTAAACTAACTGTATGAAGAGATTCTTGGTACTCTCCAGGGTTCTATGAACAAAGAAAAGAAAATAGCATCAGATGGTGTTGCATTCGCGGTACCGAAAGGCAAGAGATGATATATACAGCATCCTACCAAGCAAGCAATCATCAAAGCACGGCTTGTTCCTCCAAGAGAGTCTTGCAATACCCTTGTCAATTTGCTTTCTCTATAGGGTATTCGCGGTTGATTGTTGTTCAGTGCATAAATCACATTTGACAATGCAAATAAGGACTGGTTGATCTTAGCACTCTCTTGTAGACGAATTCCAGTGTTGCAAGTTCTTCTATTATCTTCGTTTCCTAATTCAATGACATTAGAGTTACAACATGTGAGTTACCTTTCAGTTAAATGGTCTTACACAATAATTCATGGTTAAATTTAGTAGTGTTAAAACCTGCCAAGTCAATAAGGTTCAACTTCCCAGTAACAACATTTCCAGTATCATCACAGCAAGGAGTAGAAACATAAATAGTGAGCACGGCATGACTACGGCTAGAGACATCATTAACACCCGTATGTGCAACTTTTCTTCTCTGAACCACACAAGAAAACGCCTCTTGAAACTCTGACATTGAACTGATGGTAACTTGTGCAAGTCCTTTGAGATGAATCTGTCCATCTTTGTTGTCCAATATGAAAATTTCCTTCTCCTTAAGTTCAAGTAGATCATAGCACCTATCCATGTATATTTCATAGTATGATATTGCTATGGTACTTTGTCCCTGACTCTTCGAGAGAATGGAGGACATTGCAAGTGGCATTAGACCAGGGAGGTTTTCAGTTCCCTGCATCAGCAACAAGGTATTTTCAAAACAATTCACGTGTACATCCAGGGAAATATATGCTTCACATACATATCTCTTTAGAGGTCAAATGTAAAAGTTCTAGTTTAAGACTAAATGACTGCGTACATGGGATAAGTTTATTGCATGGTTCCAATCTAAGAAATCTGATATCTCCTTGGGTCACTCATGGATCTACTTTATAGAAGTAGTAGAGCAGCAAAAAACTTGAAAAGAAACATCGAGTACATCTGTTGTAACTTGGAACTCTATATTCATCTCCTAATCTACGTGCAAATTGTAGCATCTAGTCCAATTCCAGGAGTGACGGAGCAAGTTGTGCATTATAAAAAGGGCAGCCCGGGGTCCGGGGAAGGGCCGGACCACAAGGGTTTATAGTATGCAGCCTTACCCTGCATTTCTGCAAGAGGCTGTTTCCCGGTCACATGACAACAACTTTACCAGTTACGAGGCTCCCCTTCAAATAAAAATATACCTGCATGGTGTAAGTTGTGCATTATGCAGACAAATAAAAATATACCTGCATGGTGTAAGTTTTTCCACTCCCTGTAGCTCCATAAGCAAATACTGTGACATTGCGACCATGTAATAACCCAGGGATCAAAGGATTAACTTCTTTGCCAAATATTTCGCTTATATTGTTGTCTTCTTGACCAAAAAAAGCATCCAACTTGTAGCATTCATTACGACTACAATCAAAAACATAAAGATTCCCAGGATAAGGTTGTGCAACAAATACTAGTCCAAGACTCCAAGTAATAATATGCTATAGTAGTAAGACAGATTTAATCTTGGAGCATGCCAACAATTGAGATAATGCTTACCAGGTTTCATAATCTTTCAGATGAACTGTGACATCCTCAGAAGGCTCAGATTCTGAGTTGAGAACAGAAACACAAGAGATTGGTTTTCCATCCCTCGAGTTAATTTCTTGAGGAAGAAAGGGGCGAACTCTAACAATAACTTTAACTTTTGTTACCAGAGCAGATTCTAACTGCCCTATTTTTCCAGGAGTAGAAAAGTTTTCTGTTTGACATGTTTTAAGACAGTCCATTTGCATATTAGTCCCAGGGACAACAGAACCTGTCAATTTAACAGCAACAATAAACAACATTAGCTTTTAAAAATACAGTCTCATTGAATAAAGTACTCCTTTTCTCAATACAACACAGATTAATCTCGTGAAGAAAAGTTTCTACTTTTTATAGAACAACCCATTTACCACTCGAAAAAACATAAAGATGCCAACTTTTTGCTGTTGAGCTGAATGAATTGTAAATATTACTACACATTACATTGTTCTACAAAAAAATTGCTATGGTGGTATTTTTCCTTCTCAAATAAAATATATTTTTGTATCTATCTTGTTTACCTGAAACTATGATTCTTAAACTAAAGTGGTGAAATATACCTACCCAAAAATGTGAATTTATTTATAAAAATAAACTTTTTTAAGTAATGTATTAGTTTAATTACCTACTAGAAAGTGAGGGTGTTAAGGTTTTACCAATTCTACAAAGAATTGTGCTTTATTAAAGTCAAATACTCCTTTTTGTCATTGTTGTTCCAAATTCCTAGCTTAGCCTTCCATTTAGTTAGCGTTTAAGTTATATTCACTGACAGTATAAATAGTTAAAATCTAATTACCTGCAACTATAGAAAGTGTAGATATCAGTGACCTAAAATAAGGTAAAATTTTTACTACAACGGGCTAAACTACACTGATAAAGTATGTGATACACAATTTAAATCCTTTACATAAAAGAACTCGATGTCTGATCAGACCCTAACGCAGTTCTTTTCTGGTATGAATAATCAAATTTAGTAGAATTATGACTAAAATTATTCAAGAGAGTTTCTAAAGATAATACTTTTCCACAAAATTAAAGTGAAAATGGGCTAACAAACAACAAAACAGCAAAGAATTATAACTTTGAAGAAACTGGAATAGAGAATATGATGTAACCAACCTTAGTTTGTGGATCACACTCCAAAGTTCAAACCCGTTTTCCCCTTTGAGACACCCTGTGCGTGTGTGTGTGTGTGTGTGTGTGAGAGAGAGAGAGAGAGAGAGAGGACCGTTGGAAGAAAGGCTCTGTGTGTGAGATCAGTAGTTCAAATTTTCAGATGGCGGTTCTGATGTTTGAAAGTTTTTGAATTAAAGATTTGGGCCTTTGCCTTGGTTTCGCGTGGCCCACCTCGCAAAGCTACTACTACTTGTTTTGGGCAAAAAAAGGCTCAAATTAAAAAATAGCCAGATTTACAACCGGTCGTTCAAAAATAGACAAATTTTAAAAGTAATTGAAATTTAGCCACTTTTCATGTAAAGATAAATCTGAGCGAAAACACTATTCAAAACCCGAAAAATACGCCAGTATATTATATTGGAGTTCCAGGATAAGTATGCTGGAACTCCAGCATAATATGATGGAGTTCCAACATAAGTACACTAGAACTCCAGCATAATATATTGGACTTCCAGCAGGTGTAATTGTCCAGTATAATATACTGGAGTTTGGAGCATTGGTGCTCCAGTCTCCAGTATATTATACTGGAGTCAGCAAAATATACCGGTCCAGCATAATATGCTGGAGTTCATACACAGGTACACCGAACTCCAGTATATTATGATGGACCGGTCTCTGTTGCAGCAAAATAATGGTTATTTTTCATTGACTTCGTAAACGCTGGCTATTTTTGAATGATCAGTCCGAAAACTGGCTATACCGTGCTATTTTTACCGAAAAAATCAGAAATAGTATGTTTTATAACTCGTAATTAAAAATTAGTCATAGTTTCAAAAGTAATCAAAATTTAATCATTTATAAAAATAAAATCTGAACAAAAATACCTTTAAAAATTCGAAAAATTCCAGCATAATATGCTGAAATTCAAATTTTTTACATATGAGATTCCAGAATAATATATTGGAATTTCATAATATGCTGGAATTCCAACAAAATATGTTGGAAGTTTATACACAGGAGTTCCATAATCCAACATATTATGCTGAAACTTTTTGTGTTTCAGCTATTGTGTTTTTGTCCAGATTTTATCTCCGTATAAAATACTGGCTATTTTTCAATGACTTTGCGAATACTGGCTATATTTCAATTATCAATTTGAAAGCTGGTTAGCCTGTGTTATTTTTAACTTGTTTTGAGTATTAAGGGGTTGGGGTTTCTTCTTATTAAAATAATGGGCTTATCTGTGGGAATTTTGGATCGGATGCCGAAAAAAATAGGAATTTTTACACCCTATAGAAAACCTTAGTACCCTATTTATTTTAAATAAATATCATTTTAAAATATTACGTCCTATAGATACCTTTTATACTTTATAGCCAAATATCTAATTATAGTTACATCCTACATTTAAGGCACCATATATGCTAAATAATATTTTTCTCTCTCCTTTTTAGTCTTTTCTCTCACATAATCACAGTAAAATTGACTAACCACGTTCTCTCTCTCTTTTTGCATACACTTTACTCTTTCTCCCTCAACCCACGATTCATACCTCTTCTCTCACCCAAATTCTCTAGTTCTCCTCCATTATCACTCCATTACAATCGCTTAGGGTAAGTTTAATTCGTTGATTTTGATAGAGGAAGAGCAATTGGTTCAACTGTAGCGGCTCGATTCTGCTTAGCAGTGGTCGTCGAAGTAGGGTTCACAACTTTTGCGTAATTCATGGCTTCGTTTGTGGGATTTGAGGGCTGGGAATTGTTTGTAATTGTTGTAGGAGGTTGGGCAGATGTGTTAGGGGGATGACCAGCCGGAATTAATGACTGGCCGCCGGCCGGCGAAGCCATAAGGTTGTTTCTCTCTCTAGATCGCCCAAATCGCCTATTTGTATTCAAATGTATATTTCAGCTGTATTCACATGTATTCAGTAGCATTCATTTATATATTTTAGATGTATTAAAAAGTTATGCGTATTCTTTTGTGTTCAGTTTTAATCTGTTGTATTTAACTATTTTATTCAGCAGTAGTTAGTTGTATTCAAGTGTTTTATACAACTGTATTCAGTTGTAGTTAGTTATATTCAACTATTTTATTCAGCAGAAGTTAGTTGTATTTTGTTGCATTTAAGAGTTTTATTCAGTTGTATTTTGTTGTATTCAAGTGTTTTATTCAGATGAATTGAGTTGTATTTTGTTGTATTCAATTGTATACAGTTCTACTCAACTGTATTATTCATATGTATTTCTCTTTATTCAGCTATAATCTTTATTATGTATCTTTCAAATACAGATTAATGAGGGATCGTTTTAGTTCGTTGAGTTAAATTAGGAGAATATCGTGTGATTTGATTTCCTTCCGTTTTTAACCAGTTTAACCTTCCAGATTTTGCGCAGATACGTTACTGTATTTAACGTTAATGCCTCTTGAATACAGCTAAATACATGTCAAACTTAGCTGGAATTCCAGTTTTTACGCCTATTTTTTGTTGTATTAATGAATACAACAACTTAAATACATGAAATACAATGTATAAAAACATAAAAGGTATCTATAACACGTAATATAGCAAAAGGTATCTATAAATGGTTAATTAGACCTAAAAGATGGTGCTTTATGAAAAATTCTCAAAAAAATACAATGTTGGGAACTTTACAATGTATACCCCTCTAAAGAACCCTTAACACTATATACTTCAGTTATAAAATTATATGTACTACACATTAATTAATTATCCCACATGTTCATTTAGTCAAAGGACAATACCTGCCTAATAAATTTGTCCCCTAAATTAAAAAAAATTCTATATATGAAACAAATCCAAAATCTTCATCCATTTTAAACTTGGACCAAAATTAAATAATAAAAAAAGAATTCATTAAATTAAATTTTTTTTTACTGTGGGAATCTTTGTCCTTATTTTCTTTTATACAATAAAAAATTATATAATACTCTAGTCATTGTATACTTTTAAAGTATGTTAATATTCCATGTTAAACAATATATACACAATAAATAAAAATAAAAGTATGTTTGATTTGAATACTTATTCCAAATTAGAATAGTGCGGTATATTTGATTTGAATATTGTATTTCTAATTAGAATATTGCGGTATGTTTAGTTTGAATATTGTATTCCAAATTAAATATTATGATATATTTGATTATGAATATTGTATTCTTTATTAGAATATTATGGTATGTTGGTTTGAATGCTATATTCTTCATTAATCTATTGTAATTTGGCATGTTTGGTTTGGATAATGTATCCCACATTAAAATTTTGTGGCATGTTTGGTTTGAATATTGTATTCTATTAGAAAATTATGATATGTTTAGTTTGAATATTATATTCCAAATTAGAATATTATGGTGCGTTTGATTTGAATATTGTATTTTTCATTAGAACATAGTATATTCTAATATTTCTTTTAGTTTGGATACTCTACCCCAAATTAAAATATTTTTACGTTATTTTAACTTTTCTTTTGATTACATAGATGGAAGAGAAAAACAAAAAAGATGAAACACTTCATCTGACAAATAAATAGTAAAGAGGTATTGTCTTATACATAATAAATGCTCCATTTCATATTGTTTTTCCTTCTGCGCCCCCAGTTCGGAGAAAAGAATAGAGAAGGTTCTTTATTTAGAACAAGAGAAATTATTGGGGTTCGAATTTTTTTGTTGAAAATGTATAATCCTAATTTTGTGGGATGATGGAGTGTTTTAAAGGAATTATTAAGTTGGAGTGAGAGATATATGAATGACGAAATGAGGTCTTCCCTCCTTATCTTAGTCAGACTGGCATGAAGCTTACCTGAGGATAATCCAGTCCCTTAAAAGATGAGATTTTTTAATGGCATATAATGACATTAAAGATTTAAAAAGTAAATAAAATTTTATAAAGTAGGTATAGGATGTAAAATTGGATAACAATTGAATTTATATGCAGTTTTAAAGATACGGGATATAACTTGATACAAATTAAGAAGATAGATTAATATTGAAAATAACGATAAGAAAGTAAATGCAAACCACAAAATTGAACAGCCTTAGCCTTTGAGTTTGATCACCTTCGAGCCAAGAAATGTCTCACCTAGTGTTAGAATTGAACAACAAGAAGATAAGAACTAGAAATGATCAGTATATTGCTTTATTTGTGCCTATTATAATGTGTCCTGCAAATGATCAGAACCCTTTTTATATAGTGGGGGTGTTCTACTTTTGGTATAATTCTATACCAGGTAAAAAATCTCATGATTTGCTAATTAATCGGCCTCTTCTTGATACATGCAGAGATTTCTGCCGTGATCCTCGACCGATTGCGAATATTTCGACTTTCCGTTATTTGGCTCGGTAAGTTTTCCTCGATCTTGCTCGGTTTGCACCTTGGTTCGATATAATCCGGGCTCGAGTTTTGACCTGCCATGTTTCAGCCTCGATTGATCAAACAATGAACGAACCCGATTTCGACCATATACAAAAATAAATATTTTAAATGTATGTGGAGTTAACTGGTATTTTCAATGGGTATACCACATAGATTTTTTATCACGCCCAACCATGCCTTATGAAAAGGACACGCGGACGTTGCAAATATAATCTAAGTATTTCGTCCAGAGTCGAACCCACAAGGAATTAACCTACCAATTACTCTTATCAGACTTACTAAATTCTACGTAATCAACTTCCCAAACGTTTTGAATAACAGTTGAGGATATTTTTACTAACTATGACGAACTACAATTATGTAAGTAAAGACTAACTATGATTAAGTTGTAAACAATTAAGAGAAGGATCTAAGGTAGTGATTTCCTCTATTGATGGAATCCCTTCCGGTTATGTTTCACATAGATTCACCTAATCGTCTCTATCAATCATGAGCACTCTTATTACCACAAATCTCTCCCGAGTAATCACGATAATTTACTAGACGTACTCTCCCGAGTTACGCTAGCTGGCTTTGTTTATTACAGCTCACTTTAGATTGCACCCAAGGCTTCGTTATCCCTAATCCCACCTTTAAACCCGCAGTTATAGATCCCTCTTATACTTTGGGAGTGATGTTGTTCAACAACTACCTAAATATGCACTCTCTCCCGAGTTATGCACAGTAAATAGGCACAGCTAATTGAGGATCCTATCAATTAACTACAACAAG